GCTGCGTCTAGAGTAGGGGACGCCCCAGTACTAGCGGGTAGAGGTGACATGGTCGCGCGGCCAGCTAAGCTCAAAGCGGTTATGGAGGGCTGGTGCGACGAGCCCATCTGGAAAGCGTTTAAACTATTCTGAGGCGACTGTCGAAGACCCGATAGGGCCGTTGTGAGGAGCACGCTGACGAGGACGGCCACGGCGGCACCGAGGTGGGGCAAGTGTGCCGTGCGCAACCAGGTCATCCACGGCGCAAGCATTTGCAACCGAATTCTGAAATTACCAAACGCAGGAACGTGACCGCGTAGCGCTTGCGCGACATGCGACGCGTCAGCGACGATGCGTTGCCAGGCCTTTCCATTGGCGATAGCTCGCTGCTCTGTTGAGGTAGGTCGAGAAGTCCTTGAGGTCGTGGCCAAAAGTGCAGGGCTGACTGTGAGCCAGGCCGAGGACTTTGTGAGCCAAGAACGACGCTCGGTCTCCCTTGTCCGCTTCGTTGTGTCCGCCACCTGATGCACCGCACGTCCAGCCCAACCGTCGTCAGAATCCAGCACGCTCTGGGAGCAAATTACCACGAACAATCCAGATCCTCGAGTGACGTCTGCCCCAGAGCGTTCGGCCAAGAGCTGGCGCGTTCGATCCAGCGCGCTTGACCACTCCTCGCTGATGCGGCGCAGCTGCAGGAAGCGCCCAAGGTTCTGGGCGATGTTGTTTTCCGTGAAAGCTCTTGCGCTTGAGATATTCTCATCTCGTTGAGGGCTCACAAGCAAAGAAGCGGAGGGTGTGTCGGCGTCGTCTAGATTGGATGCAAGTTTAGGTGCGACGATGGGCAGCAAGTGAGGCTGCGGATGACTTCGAGTTGCAGCTTGCGAATCTTTGCCTAATCTCGCGCGAGAGTAGTGCTTGTGGAGCAATGCTGCCAGATCGATCGCAAGTGACTGCTGAGATTCGCCATTCTCCAGGAAGCAGACCACGAGTCCGCTACCGTCGAGAAGGTGCATAGCGCCATCAACCTGCAGCCAAGAATGCATCTGAGCCTCTTCGCCCGGTTCGAATGACAAAGACCTGAGGCAGAAGAATTCTTTGACCTGCGACACGAGATGCAGTCAAGTCAGCTTTTAAAGGCGGCCGTACACTCTCAACAGACTCAAAACTCACCTGCAATGTTCTGCCACTGACGAAGTCGACCGAACTGCAGCGCACCATGACATTGCCTTGTCCACCTTCGTCTGACGGTACTGTGTGGAAAGTCAGAGGTGAAGAAGATGTTTGACGCATCGACGTGAAGTCTTTCTCGTCAGCAGCTGCGACGGCAGTCATGGCACTCGTCTTGATGGTGTTAGAGACCAATTGGCTGTACGTGGCTCCGGGATCACGTCCGAGGTAAAAGACATTAATGGACGAGGCAGAGTGTGTGACGGCCCCAATCAGGGAGCGCGCCATCTTGAGACGTGCAGCTAAGACCCCTGGGGAAGAGTTTTCGGAAGACGAACGCCATTGAGAGCCCGCTGCTTCTGCCAAGCGTTCGGATGTTTCATCGCTGTCGTTGTCAATTCCTGCGCCTGCGACAACAGCTGGTGACTTTTGACCGAGCTGATGCAGAAGCGTCGGATCAGGGAATTGAAAGTGGCGGCCATCCATTAGGCGAGATGTGTCTTCTGAAGGGAGCAAAGTGGATGTGTTCAGGCTTGCTGCTTCGAAAGGATGTGTCGATTTGGCCGCTCGCTCGAGGGCATTGACGAGCAAAGTCGCATTGCTCGATGAGCGCAGGAAATCTGACCTTGTAGCTGGGTGCGCGGAGTCTGGGAAGGTCGACGAGGTTCCAACAGGCGTCCCAATATCTTGACTCGCATCTGGATCCTTGCGTTCACGGAACAGCTCGTGCGTGTGCTCGAGCCTAGTCTCCAGCGCATCCACTTCCGACCAAGCGGCTGAAGCGGATGTCGAAAGGATTGGCAAGGGTGTCGTCTGAATCGTCAGATCCTCATTTGAGGCCCATGGGTGCGAGACGCTGGACGAGCCCATATACGAGTCGACGAGATTGGCGCCATGGCTTGGCCTGTCGCTGCGTTCGACCAGCTCAAAGTCGTCATTGTCTAGGCTTGAGACATCGCTCAGGCCAGTATCGTCATCCATAAATCCTGAGGATGGAGTTCGCGAGGAGGACGTCATAGTTGGCGAAAGCAAAGCATCTGTGACCGGATGATCAGCGGTGGATGCATTGCGAGTAGGATGCTCTACACGAGCGAAGGGTGAGGTTTGACTACTCTCGTCGCTAGACACGGAGTGCAGTGATGAAGTGTCCAGTGGGTGAGAATTGGCAGCATCGGTAGGAATGATGACTAGCTCCTGAGACGAGCTCGTCGACAAGGATGATGGAGTCCCAGCCCGATCGACAGATGTGGAGGAGTCAGTGCTAGCATCGCTGCCAGTGGATGCACGTCGGGCGGACATCTCAGGCTGAAACCCCCACAGGGCCTGGCGTGGCGATCAGCGGAAGGTTGGGGGAATAGAAGGTTGAGAGATGCCAGTTGCTGTTGGAAGTGATAAGATCACAGCTCCCCACCACGACGGCGCCGTTACCAAGCGGCAGCTGAGGCCAGGCTGTACGACCGCAAGATGGAGCTGAGCATCAGCCATCAGGAGCACGCATCACCCAGATTCTCATTGTCTAACACTCACCTACAACGAAATTAAAGCACCAATACGGACGATTACAACTCTCCGAGGTGGAGCTATACAATGTGAATCATATATCCATACGTGCGTCAGCATGTATATCAGCTAGGGTTCATGCGCGCGCGCGACAACGACAATCACAGGGGATTTGGAGCCCATTAAGACTCGACACTGGTCAAGCGCCCGGTGAATGTCCTGCTCAGCACATGCATCACAGCTGCTGCGCTGGCGCTGCATGGGATGTGGGGGTCATGGACCCTCTGCTCGCGCGATAAGGGCGGGCCAAGTTCAACGCGGCAGGAGGTGTGCTGAGGGCAACGCCAATCATCATCAATCAAAATCACGATTCGTGAACGATCACGAATAAGATCAGCATGCCACATCCGTCTGTCCGCAACGACAATCACTTGCACCCATACCCGACTCCTTTGAGCTAGCCA